GATGAGCCAGGGCTAGAGGCTCTGGAAGGAGACGTGTTACCACGCTCCTGTTGATCTTGGAGCAATCGTTCCACCCGGACCACATGTTTTTCCAGAGCACGTTGTCTACATTATTCGTCCCGTAGGACAGCCCTGGACAGTCTCTGTGCCAGTGGTCATTGCGGTCTTGACCTAGGTCTAGCCCCGGAAGCTGAAACCTCAGAGCCCTGAGGTTCAGATGTTCCCTCCTGTCTGGGATCCATTCTTGCAATTTCCCTGTCAGGTGTGTTCCACTGCTAATCCTGCGGAAAAAATCCACCCAATGGGTTCTCCTTCCCCTGCGACTTGTGGCCCAACAGATCTTAATGTCCAAAGTCAAGTTCAGCCTACTCTCCTAACTACAAGTCTTGTGGTGTTACAAAATGGCCACCGCTTCTCTTTCAGAGTCCAAAATGGCCACCGGCTCAGATAACAGCCACCCAGTTCGTTAGAAATTGTGGGTGACTAAAATAAGTGCTTGAAGGCCACAGCGAAGCAAAACCGCACTCAGCCAATTTGCAGGGAGCCCCCTACAAGATCAACGCCAGCGCGATTCCCTATGTCAAGAAATTGCACTTTTTTTGGTGGCGGCTGCTGACTCGCTGCAATGGAAGCAGAATATCTGTCAGGAAACGTTTTTTAAAAAGATATCGCGGCTTTTCCCGCTACCCAGGGCTCACCACATGAGTCAGCAACGTTTAACCTGTCAGCCACCCTCTTACCTCCGCAATGGAGCCTCAATGTTCTATTAAAGCTGTTGGATCCAGCCGATTGCAATCTGGCACCATGCGAGGTGGTGACGATGCCCGATGCTTCCCTCGCTCACCGCAACATACAATTAAGGTGTTGAAGAAAAATTTAGTATTAAAGATCGAATTAGTCTAATCAATTGTCAATCTTAGTAAAGATTGGAAGAAAACAGCAACAGCTAAGAAACTACCAGCCTATATGGACCATAGACTGAGAGGAACTGGGAAGAAGGAGTAGAGGAGTGGCTGCAACAATTTGTCTCAGTCTATGGACTAATCAGGATTGACGATAGTCCGATAAGAGCACCTCAGGCTCTCCATCATTGAGAACCAGGAAACTACAGACCTATTAGCCTGACCTCAATACCGGGAAAGATTCTGAAAAAGATAATCAAGCAACAAATTAGCAAACACCTAGAGGTAAACAAAGTAATAGCCAAAAGGCAACATGGGTTTGTCAAAAACAGATCATGCCAGACTAATCTTGTTGCATTCTTTGACAAAGTGACAAAATTAGTGGACCAGAGGAATGCTATCGATATAGTTTACTTGGACTTCAGTAAGGTAGACCACAACCTACTACTAGATAAAAGTAGAAGAATGTCGGTTGGACAGCATCACTACCAGATGGATTCGTAACTGGCCGACCAAGCGCACTCAACGTGCAGTCCTCAATGGAACTGTATCTACATGGAGGGATGTATGCAGTGGAGTACCCTAAGGCTCTGTTTTAGGCCCAGTACTCTTCAACATCTTCATCAATGATTTGGATGAGGGAATCAATGGGGAACTCATCAAATTTGACACCAAGCAGGCAGGAAGAGCCAATACTCCAGAAGATAGGCTTAAGATACAGAAGGATCTTGACAAACTTGAACACTGGGCACTATCTAATAAAATGAAATTCAATGATGAAAAGAGTAAGGTTCTACAATTAGGTAAGAAAAATGAAATGCACAGGTACAGTATTGTCAGTGATGGCAAACATTTTTTGGCTCACATGCTATAAGCGGGGGGAGCATACGGGGAGTCGTGCAGGGCGTGCAGCACCCATAATGCAATGTGCGACACCCCCCCAGTGCACATGCGCGCATGACAGGCACAACCCATTTTTTGCATGCCTTTTTCGCCCCCACCCCAGGCTCCAGAGGCTTTATAGGAGCCTGGGGAGGGTGAAAAAACCCTTCCCCGCCTCCCTGGAGGCCCTCTGGAGCCTTCAGGGACCTTCAAGAGGCTTCCCTGAAGGCTCCAGAGGACTAAAAATGAACCTATGAGCAAACTGGAAGTGACTTTTGGTTTGCTCGTAGGGTCCATTTTAGTCCTACGGAACATTCAGGGAAGCCTCCTGAAGGCTCCAAAGGGCTTAAATTGACTCTACAAACCGGAAGTTCGGGAATGGACCGGGTTTTTTGCGCTCCAGAGATTTCAGGGAAGCTCCTGAAGCCTCTGGATGACCTCCGGGGGAGGACCAGGGGGGGCTGTTTTCACCCTCTCTAGGCTCCTATAAAGCATCTGGAGCCTGGGGAGGGCAAAAAATGGCTTTATAAAAGGCTGAACTCAGCTGACAGGGCAACGCCTCGCATGCCCTGACAAATGGCTCTGCGTGCCACCTGTGGCACACTTGCCATAGGTTCGCCATCCCGGGTATAGGTGATATCTTGCTCAATAGTAGTAACTGTGAGAGGGATTTTGGAGTACTAGTGGACAACCATTTAAATATGAGCCAGGAAGGAGTGTGCAGCAGCTGCCAAAAAAGCCAACACAGTTCTAGGCTACATAAACAGAGGGATAGAATCAAGATCATGTGAAGCGTTAATACCACTTTATAATTCCTTGGTAATGCCACACTTGGAATACTGCATTCAGTTTTGGTCGCCAC